GCAATACAATATTGCCATAGTAACATTGTACTACTCTGGACAAGTGCTCAGGATTTTTTTTTTTTCCTTATTATACCAAATTACATTGGTATAAGCCAGGGCCAGTTTACAGTCTTTCAAACTTTAGGAGGGCTGGACTGTGGCCAGTGGGAGTAGAAAATGCCCCAGCATCAGTGGGACTCCACAATGTCTCAAACTTGGTGGTCAGTAGGTTTTTCAAAATTAGACAGCGCATGTGGTCAGGAGGAGTAATAGTGGGCCCCATCATTGGTGTCAGTGGGAGGAATAGTGTCCCATCATTGGTGTCAGAAGGAAGGACGATGCTTCATTGTTGGTGTCAGTGGGAGGAACAGTGCCCCATCATTGGAGTCAGTGATTGGAATAGTGCCTCATGGGGCAGACAAAAGCAAGCAAAGGGCCACATCCGGTCCTCGGGCCGCAGTTTGGAGACCACTGGTATAAGCAAGCATTTTTACTGAATGAAACTGATTCATTCAGTAGTTGTTTGTTGTGATCAGCAATAGCTGATCACATGCTACAGATTGGCTGTGGTTAGCCCAGTCTGTACATGTGATCAATCACAGCTTGCAGCACAGTTGTAAGCAATGAATAGCATGTAAGGAAGTTTACATTGTCATTGTTTACAAAGGTCATGTGATTTGCTGAGATTGGTCACAGAGATCACATGACAATGGCAGTAGGCTGGTGTAGTGATCTGTCATTAGCCATGTCCTGTGGACACAGCCAGTGACAGATCGCGCCAGAGCCTGCAGCCTGTGGGGCATGTGAGAGACGCAATCCTGGGAGGACGTCATATGGTTCCCACTTGGCCGTCATTGTACAATAGGCTTGACGGGAAGGAGTTAAAGTTTATCTTCTTGGTTTTTTTTTTTTAGCTTGTCAGGTTGCTTTAACTGATATCCTTTACAGATCAAAGTTCATTCCTTTGAACGAATGAACGGAAAGATACAAAAGAAACATTGTTACATTGTATTTTTTTTCTATAAACCAGTCTAAGCAAGTGTTATTTATACACACCATTTCAGACTGCTGAAGGTGCCAAAACCTCTGAGTATACAATGATCCCGACTTTGCTGAATCAAAGCCGACAATTACTGTATACTTGGGGAGGTCCCAGAATCAGGACAGAGAAATGTGCTACACATGCCCTGTGTATTTCAACATTTAGTCAACTTTAGTCAGAGACACACAGTTTGTTTATCAACAAATGCCCCTTATCTGCATAGGCAGTACTTTGGTGAAGGTGAACCATCCCTTTAAGGATAATTCTAAACTGATGAGCTGTACAGGCAATAAGAGAATCAACTTAAATGTTCGAGATTTCACAGATGCACACAGTTTTGGGATTTGACACATATGGTATTTATTTACTTGACACAACCTCAAGTTTTATTTTGTACAAAAAAAAATTTTAATTATTGTATTTTCCTGAAAATATAGACTGTAATCTAGACAGATATTCTATGATAATAATGCAAACAATTGCTCTAGATTGGAAGAGTTTAAAACAACATCAGATCAAATTATCTTAGCCCTGCATAAACACTTACCTGAGTCTCGATCCAGCGCTGATGCAGCTCTTCTCTCCTCTTCCTGTATTCACTGGAGGCTCTGGTGGTAGCAGGAGCCATTGCCTCCTGCTGCCAAGAGAGAGCGGGGGACAGGGAAAAACGGCACTGTGTGCAAGCCTGCATGTGTGCCCCCATAGCACACAACTTCCTATGGAGGCACATTCAGAAGGAAAAGGATCAGACAGTGCCGACAGGTGACCCTAGAAGTGCAGGTAAGGGACGGATCTGTGCAATATCCTTACACAAAGTAGGCAAGCATAACATTTTTTATTTTGTGGAAAAAAACCTGGGCCTTTAATAAATATCACTTTACCAGTCACTAACAAGTAGTTTTGTTTTGATCTCGGATTTACGTGTCAAGTATAGAATATTTTATTCGAATACCATCTTTGCACTGCATTTCAGCAACAGTCTAAATAAATTTAAAACAAGGTTATGCATAGCTACATGCAATGACAAGATAGAGCACTGAAGTTTAATTGAAGGTTAACCAGCCTTTGCATATACACTAAATTGCCAAAAGTACTGGGACACCCCTCCAAATCATTGGATTCAGGTGTTCCAATCACCTCCATGACCACAGGTGTATAAAATCAAGCACCTAGGCATGCAGACTGCTTCTACAAACATTTGTGAAAGAATGGGTCGCTCACTGAATTCAAGCGTGGTACCGTGATAGGTTGCCACCTGTGCAGTAAGTCCATCCATGAAATTTCCTGGCTACTAAATATTCTACGGTCAACTGTTCGTCATATTATAACAAATTGGAAGCAACTGGGAACAACAGCAACTCAGCCACCAAGTGGTAGGCCATGTAAAATGATAAAGCGGGGTCAGTGCATGCTGAAGCGCACAGTACGAAAAAATCACCAACTCTCTGCAGAATCAATAGCTAAAGACCTCCAGACTTCGTGTGGCCTTCAGATTAGCACAACAGTGCATAGACAGCTTCATGAAATGGGTTTCCATGGCCAAGCAGCTGCATCCAAGCCTTACATCACCAATTGCAATGCAAAGCAACGAATGCAGTGGTGTAAAACCACGCCACCACTGTACTCTAGAGTAGTGGAGATGTGTTCTCTGGAGTGACATATCAAGCTCATCTGTCTGGCAATCTAATGGATGTGTCTGGGTTTGGCAGTTGCCAGGAGAACAGTACTTGCCTGACTGCATTGTGCCAAGTATAAAGTTTGGTGGAGAGGTGATTATGGTGTGGGATTGCTTTCCAGGGGCTGGGCCTGGCCCCTTAGTTCCAGTGAAGGGAATTCTTCAGGCGTCAACATACCAAGACATTTTGGACAATTTCATGCTTCCAACTTTGTGGGAACTGTTTGAGGATGGCCCCTTCCTGTTCCAATGCACAAGTGCGCAAAGCAAGGTCCATAAAGACATGGCTGAGCAAGTTTGGGATGGAAGAAATTGATTAGCCTGAAGAGAGTCCTGACCTCAACCTGATAGAACACCTTTGGGATGAATTATGAGTGGAGACTGCGAGCCAGGCCTTCTCGGCTGACATCATTGCCTGACCTCACAAATGTGCTTCTGGAAGAATGGTCAAACATTCGCATAGGCACACTTCTAAACCTTGTGGACAGCATTCCCAGAAGAGTTGAAGCTGCTAGAGCTGGAAAGGGTGGGACAACGCAATATTGAACTCTACTGACTGAGACTGGGATGCCATTAAAGTTCATGTGCGTGTAAAGGCAGGCATCCCAATACTTTTGGCAATATAGTGTATGTTCACCTATTTATATGAATTTCAAGAATTTTAAATTATGTATAGTCATCAAAGTCTATTTGTAAAGAAACATTAGGCTTACCACAGTGAACATAGTAAAGAGTTAACATTGCTGTCAGGTTTTGATTTTTGTCTGTGACCCCATTTAGGTGATTTTTCCTCAAGTGCTGTCTCTTTAATTTACTTAAGCAAAAAACAAAAACAGGAGAAGCAGTTTCACCAGAACAGGAAAGTACAGATAGCAATAACAATATTGTTAAAAGATCATTCCTGTCTCCACAGGAAGTGAGAGTAAATCTCCCTAAACAGCAATAAGAAACTGACGGAGGTCCTAACCCTTGTCCATTCAATCCCAAACAAAAAAGATTGGCTGGAGCAGAAATGTAATTTGATATTAAAGCCCAAATTAAACTAGAACCTGTGTCATTTCTTTTTCCTGTCCCTCACTTCCTGTGTGGTCAACCAGAGACTAGAAGTAAATAGACATGTCTCCAATGAGAACACAGTTATATAAAGCTGGCAGTTGTTGTAATACTTACTGGCTATTAAAAACATTCTATCTGAAGCTCTTTTATTACACACAGGGGTCTGTACAGCATGCAAGACCTATTTGTTTATGTTTTTGGAGCTGGGTGCAGATAGCCTATGTTATTGAATGGAGATGCAGCAACTGTATGGACCCACCAACATCGGAGTTTGACAGACATGCAGGTACGGGCAGGAGGGCCAGAGCTACACACTGTCCCTACATGCCTGTCAAACTCATAGGTTGCCTGCATGCAGCTCCAAAACAAAAACATGGCTCTCGTGAGTTGTACAGGCCTTGAGGCCAGTGTGAATGAGCCCTAAATTGTATCTATTCATCCTAGCAGTCAGATATTATGCTGGCCATGCACGTTAGAATAAACAATGATCAGTTAAAAAAAGGTAATATTTTATCTAATTATTTGGTTGAAATTAACTGTCTTCTGCTAGGGCTAGTTATTCATTTAAAAAAAATAAATTGTTTTAAGCACATTACCCGCTAATGCAACCATTTTGAAGCATATGAGTCATTCACCATAAAAATCATTTTACATTTTACTGTGTGTATAACCAGCATTATAATATTTAACCATCTTTTGATGTTGAAAAAGGTTTAAGGGCTGGTTCACACCACAATTTCTGTGTTCCAGATTAATTTTTGCATATGTGTTTATATGATTCTTGGAATTCGTTTTCAACACTTTCAAGTAAGTTTGTTTCCTTTTTTTTTTTTTTTTTGACATTTGAAAAAACACAGGACATTGTGCATCCCGGTGCATTTACATGTATTTTGCTGCCTTCCAGATGTATTCCATACAGTAAAAATGCAGCAGTTCTACTTTTGTTGACTGCATCAATGTGAACTAGGACCATTAAAATACATAGAAAACACTGGACATGCATTTTTGGTGGAGATCAAAAATTCACTGGACTGCATTTGGTGTGAACCAGCCCTGATAGAAGACAATAAAGTGATATCGGATTACATTGGGATACGTGTAATGTAAAATATTAGCGGTATTCTCTACATATACCAGAATTACAGAAATTACATTATCATCATGGAAGTACATCTGTGCCGTTTTCATATCACGTTTGATAGTTACCTGATGCCTCTCTTTAAAAAGCCAAGATGTCAATCTATGTCACAACACATGTTTGTTTTGCATCTTACCTGTCTTCTTTTCTGTAACATCTTCTACTCTCAATGGACAGGATTCACTTTGAGTGCTCGTACAATGTAAGGAGTCCTCCGATTTAGCTGTAGATGGGAAGTCCAGCTGAGTAGGCTTAGGGACATGTTTCTTTTTCTTTTTTGGAAGCTTTTGTTTTGCCATAGCAAGAGAATAATACATTCCAAAATTATTCACAATAACTGGAACCGGCATGGCAATAACGAGTACTCCAGCTAGAGCACACAAGGCACCCACCAGCATACCAGACCATGTCTGTGGATACATGTCTCCATATCCAAGTGTAGTCATAGTTACTACAGCCCACCAGAACCCTATTGGGATGTTCTTGAAGTGCGTGTGATTGCTTCCACTTGGGTCTGATGGTTTTGCACCTATTCTTTCTGCATAATAGATCATAGTTGCAAATATTAGAACCCCTAAAGCTAAAAAGATGATTAGAAGAAGAAATTCATTGGTGCTAGCTCGCAGGGTATGTCCAAGAACTCGTAGCCCAACAAAATGTCTAGTCAGTTTGAAGATGCGCAATATCCTGACAAAGCGTACTACACGCAGGAATCCTAGGGCATCCCTCGCAGCCTTGGATGACAGCCCACTAAGACCTATCTCCAGGTAAAATGGAAGTATGGCTACAAAGTCTATGATGTTTAGCATGTTCTTAATAAAAATCAGTTTATCTGGACAGCAGGCAATTCGAACCAGGAACTCCAATGTAAACCAGAAAACACAGACACCCTCTATATATGTTAGAATGGGCTCTGTTTCCACTTCTTTCATCACAAGGGTTTCTGTCACATTTCCCACTATGACAACCTCTGTTACATTTATGTCCACAATAAAAGCTTCATGAGTTTCCAAACAGAAAGTAGTAATAGACAGCAGGATGAAGAAGAGTGAAGTAACAGCCACTAGCTGCAAAAGGCAAATATACATTTCCATTTTAATTCACTGAAAAACACAAACTATTTCTATGAGATTTCTGTGTGTAACAAGAATTTTATCACTTATATTTAAATGAACCCAATTATTCTGACGTTTGTGTTACAGAAATGTCTTCACATTTATAAAAACAGCATAACAAATCTAATAGTTTCATTGCACATTATAGATGACAAGCATACTAGATCTGGGGGGGGGGGGGGGTCAGTAAAATGGACACAGGAAATGTACAGCTTTATATTGATGGTATGCACACATGCCAGCTGCCTAAATCACTCTATACTGAAAACTGAATAAATAGTGGGTTGGGCAATTTCCCATTTAAAACTGCATCTAAACCCTTAACCTCTTGCCGTCCGCCTGCTGTTTATAAACGGCAGGGCGGTGGCAGTCCAGGGTCGGGTTGCCATCCATAAACGGCACCCGCCTTTTCTAGCTGTGCGCGCTCCCTGGGAGCGCGCACCACCGCGATCCGGTGCCCGCTGTGTCCTCCGGACACAGTGAAACACCGATCGTCGGACGGGACCTCTGTACGAGGTCCCGATCATGTGATCACTGATTGGCGAATCAGTGATCACATGCAAAGTAGTAAGCAAGATGTCACTTGTGACATCATTGCTTACTACGTGTGAAATCTGTGAATGATCACAGAGGTCACATGGTACAAGGCTATTCACAACAGCCTTGTACCATGTGACAAGCTGTGACCACTCACAGCTCACTCAGTAATTCTCAATGACTGCAGGAATGCAGACAGAGAGAAAGAGAAATGATTGCTTTTACATCCTATATGGGTGTAAAAGCAATCAGTGTAAAAAAAAAAAAAAAAATCTTCATCACCCTCCACAAGTAGTACAGTGTCACCATGGTGACAGTGTACTGCTAGGGTGACAGTATGTAAAAAAAAAAAATAAAAATAAAAAATAATAATATAAAAAAATAAAAATAAAATGTAAAAAAAATGTTTAAAAATTATAATTTTTGGTTATAAACTAATTTGGATTTTTTTTTTTTACTAAAAAAATAACGGAATACATTTTGGCTAAGATTTATGATGAAATATTATTTATTTGCAAAATTTTATTTAAAAAAACACTTTTTTTCAAAATTTTTGAACATTTTCATTTACATAGTAAAAAAAAAAAAAATCCCAGCGGTGAATAAATACCACCAAAATAAAGCTTTATCTGTCTCAAAAAAATGGTAAAAAAAATTCATATGGGTACAGTATTGCATGACCGCGCAATTGTCATTCAAAGTGTGATAGCGCTGAAAGCTAAAAATTGCCCTGGACAGGAAGGGGTAAAAGTGTCCGGACAGGAAGTGGTTAAAAACTAGATACATTAGCTTCAAATTGAAATATAGGTTCCATGAAATGCCTGCACATGCTATCACATATACACTTCAGTGTGTCCCTAAATCCTGTAATTGAGTGCTGTAATATGGAAATATGGACTTGGGAAGAAGAAATGAGAGTTGTTAAAAACCTCTGCTATCTCATGCAAGTCTTTCTGCTTGTTCAGTATGACAGACTGCATATTAACTGTTCAAAAAAGGTTGGGTTTACTATTGCAATGGCAACATGGTGTCCATATGTCAAGCCCTGCATTAGGATACCAGGATTACTATATGGACATAGTATGTGCTCAGGCCGAGGTTAGTTTCTCAGTTGGTACAGTTGTGCTCAAAAGTTTGCACACCCTGTCAGAAATCGTGAAATTTTAGCACTGATACTGAAAATATGACTGATCGTGCCTAAAAAAACTGCCTTTTATTTAAGAATAGTGATCATATGACACCATTTATTATCACATAGTTATTTGGCTTCTTTTTAGATCAGAATGATAACAGAAATCACCCAAATCCAAATAGTCCTGATGAAAAGTTTATATACCCTGCAATGTTTGACCTTGGTGCAGACACACAAGGTGACACACACAGGTTAAAATGGCAATTAAAGGTTAATTTCCCACAGCTGTGGCTTTTTAAATTGCAACTACTGTCTGTGGAGAGAAAAGGAAAATGATACAAAAAGATATCCAAAGCCTTGAACATGCCAGTCACTGTTCAATCACTTATTACGAATTAGAAAATTCGGGAATCTCTTGATACCAATCCAAGATCAGGTAGATCAAGAAACATTGCAGCCACAACAACTGTCAAAAGAATGGTTTGGGATACAAATAAAAACCCACAGGTAACCTCAGGAGAAATATAGAATGCTCTGGAAAAAGATGGCATGGTTGTTTCAAGAAGCAAAATACAACGATACTTGAACAAAAATGAGCTTCATGGTCAAGGTGGCAGAATGAAGGCTTTACTGCACCAATACCACAAAAAAGCCAGGTTAGAATATGCCTAACACCTTGACACACCTCACACCTTTTGGCACACTAATCTGGAGTGACAAGACCAAAATCGAGCTCTATGGTCACAACCATAAGCGCTATTGTTGAAGAGGGGTCAACAAAGCCTATAAGGACAAGAATACCATCCCCACTGTGAAGCATGGTGGCCGGTCTCTAATGTTTTGGGGGTGTGCAAGCTCTAAAAGGCACAGGGAATCTTGTGAAAATTGATGGCAAGATGAATACAACATGTTATCCAGGGTGGATAAAAAAAATTGATAGATACTATCTAAAGATAGTTTTCTATTTAACCATTTCTATACCAGGCACTTTTACCCCCTTCCTGCCCAGGCCATTTTTCAGGTCTCAGCGCTCTCACACTTTGAATGACAATTGCGCGGTCATACAACATTGTACCCAAACTAAAATTTTATCATTTTTTTTCACACAACTAGAGCTTTCTTTTGGTGGTATTTAACCACATGCCGCCCAGCCACTGTATAAATACGGCGGCAGGGCGGCATGGCTGGGCAAAAGCACGTTTTAAAACGTGTGTTTTGTAAACAGGTAGGGGGCGCGTGTGAGGCGCGCCGCCGCCCTACCTGTCCCGCCGATCACAGCGCGGATGTCAGTTGCCGGCCGCAGCCGGTCGTTACCGGCTATGTCCTGGCGATCGGCGGCAATCGCTGACAGAGAGCACAGCTGCAGTAGCTGTGCTTTCTGTCAGTTCCCTGACAGCTCCAGGACAAGCTGATCGGGACAGAAGAGTTTCTCTGCAGTACACCCCCCGCCCCCTAGTAAAACACTCCCCTCACACAGTTAACCCTTTCCCTGAAAAATAAACTTAACCCCTTCCTCCCCATTGCCATTAGTACAGCGTCAGTGTATTTTTTTTTTTCACTGATCACTGTATTGGTGTCACTGGGGATGTCAGTGACCCCAAGTCAGTACCCCCCAATGTCAGAATGTCCGCCGCAGTCCCGCCATAAGTCACTGATCGCCGCCATAAGTCGCTGATCGCCGCCATTATTAGTGTAAAAAAAAATAAAAATCCCAGTATCTTTCCCGCCTTTTGTAAATGCTATAACTTTCACGTAAATCAATTAATTTACATGTATTGGGTTTTTTTTTTTTGCAAAGACAAGTCGCAGAATGCATTTTGGCAGAAACTTATGACTAAATTTGATTTTTAAATTTTTTTTTTAGTGGACAGTATAGCAAAAAGTCCAAAATATTGTTTTTTCCTCAAAATTGTCAGCTTTTTTTTTTATAGCGCAAAAAATAAAAACCGCACAGGCGATCAAATACCACCGAAAGAAAGCTCAATTTTGGAAAAAAAAAAGGATGTAAATTTCATTTATGTACCGTATTGCATGACCGCGCAATTGTCCATTAAACTGGCGCAGCGCTGTATAGCAAAAAAATGGCGTAAATTACAGTATCTATACCATAGTTTGTAGACGCTATAACTTTCACACAAAGCAATCAATATACACTTATTAGGATTTTTTTTACCAAAAACATGTAGCAGAATACATTTTGGCCTAAATTTATAACCAACTTTGAGTTAACTATATATTTTTTATAGCTGAAAGTAAAAAATATTGTTTTTCTTCATAATTTTTTTTTTTTTTTTTATGTTTATAGCGTGAAAAATAAAAAGCGCACAGGTGATCAAATACCACCGAAAGAAAGCTCTATTTGTGTGAAAAAAAGGACGTAAATTTTGTTTGGGTGCAGCATTGCATGACCACGCAGTTATCAGTTGAATTAATGCAGCGCCGAGTAGCGAAAAGAGGTCTGGTCATTAACGGGGGTAAATCCTTTGGAGGTCAAGTAGTTAATCACCACTGGGGTTTTTATTTTTTGCTAAATTAACAAAAAAGACCGAAAATTTTGAAAAAAAAAAAAAACACGTTTTTCTTTGTTTCGGGTATAAAAGTTTGCAAGTAAATAATTGTTCTTCAGAAATTTAGGCCGAGATGTATTCTGCTACATGTCTTTGGTGAAAATAACCCAAATTAGGATGTATTTTTTAGTTTGTAGGAAAGTTATAGAGTTCACAAACTATGGTATAGATCTGAAAATTGATCAATCCTGAAGTACTGACGGCCAATCTAATTTCTTGAGGTCCAAGAATGTCAGAACAGTACAGATATCCCCCAAATGACCCTTTTTGATAAGTAGACAGTCCAACGTACTTCATAAGAGGCATGGAGAGATTTATGAAGTTGTATTTTTTTGGTCATAATTTTTTGGAAAATGAAAAAAATTAAAAAAAATTATTTTCACTTTTTTTTTTTTTTACATACTGTCACCAGTGCAGTACAGCATCATCATAACTGGCATGGCGGTGATCAGGGACACTGACTGGTAACAGTATGAAAAAAATAAATAAATATTTATTTTTTTTATTATTTTTTATTACATTTTCTTTCTTTTTTTTAAGATTTTTTTTTTATATTTCACTATGACTAAAGTAGTACAATGTAACATTGTACTACTTTGGGAAAGTGATCAGTATTTTTTTTTTTTTTTTTTTACACAATTTGCTTATAGCAAAGAATTACTTTGCTATAAGCAAGCATTTACCTGAATGACATCGATTTATTCAGGGCTTTTTTTTTTTGTGCTTAGCTGTGATTT